ACGTCTTTTATTTTTGCAACAAAAATGCGTTGGTATTAACAATAAACAAAAAAAGTGACGCGAGGAAAGCGTCTTTCCGCCATTTTATATACGTCCAAATTTCTAATTAATTAACGCGAATTTCTCAATTAAGAGGTATTACAGAATACGTACATTTTAGCACAAGCTACGTAAGCGATTAGCGAACAAATTGGGAAATTTTCAAAGCAATACAAAAATAATATTTTTTTTTGTTTAGAGTCAGATTCACCACTAACCTTTAATTGCCGTTGAATCTAATGGGATTGTGATCTCCGATGATAGTTTTCTCAAAACACAACACAGTTCATCAAATTTAAACTAGTTGCACAACAATTTTGAGCTTATAAGACCGAAGGGCACGCAGACTCATTGAAGAACGAACTGTGACTGAGCATCCCCCCCGACGCAAACGCAGTAGGTGATGCCAACCGATTGTTTTAAGTCAAAATTGTTTATAATGTTTAAACTCCCTCTTGTGGATCAATTGATAAACACGATAGCGCCAATATGACAAAAATCAATAATTTATTACTAAAATTAATAATTTTTTAATTGCAATTAATTTACAATTAAATGAATGTGAATAAATTAATGGGTTAATATCAATATGTGTTTCGATTACTAATTCCAATACAAATTTAAAGAAATGTTAATCGATTGAATGAAATTTATAAAATGAAGGAAATGTTATTCGATGAATGAAATTCATTGAATAGAATTTCAATTAACCTATGAGTCAAGTAATTACTTTGTACTGGAAAAAATTCTTCATATTAATACATCCTTCGAGTTAAAATTGTGCATACATTTTATTAGGCACACACTCACAACTAATCGATTAGTAAGTTTTAGAAGATTTATATTTTCTTCGAGTCTGATTTAGCATTAATTTACATCACATATTAGCAGACATATCTAATGATATGGATAACTGTTCGAACAAATTGAGTGAAGTTACAAAGAAAAGCTGTAAAAAATATTAAGATTCGAAATCGAGGATTTTCAATTTCCACTAAAAATTATTGAGAAAACTCCGAAATTTCATTAATTATTACGTAAATCTAATTGGAATGATGTTGACTTAAGAAAGGGACGCGCACAACTATGTCGTAGGGACGCCACAATCGTACCAACCGACACCTGGCACGTCTTTTATTTTTGCAATAAATATGCGTTCGTATTAACAATAAACAAAAAAAAAGTGACGCCAGGAAAGCGTCTTTCCGCCATTTTATATACGTCCAAATTTCTAATTAATTAACGCGAATTTCTCAATTAAGAGTTATTACAGAATACACACATTTTAACACAAGTTACATAACGGATTAGCCAATAAAATGGGAAAATTTCAATGCAGAGCGATTTTTTTTGTTAACAATCAGATTCATCACTAACCTTTAATTGCTGCTAAATCTAATGGGATTGTGATCTCCGATGATGTTTTTCTCAAAACACAACACAGTTCAACAAATTTAAACTAGTTGCACAACAATTTTGAGCTTATAAGACCGAAGGGCACGCCGACTCATTGAAGAACAAACTGTGACTGAGCATCCCCCCCGACGCAAACGCAATAGCTGCCAACTGATTGTTTTAAATCAAAATTGTTCATAATTTCTAAACTCCCTCTTGTGGATCAATTTATAAACACGATAGCGCCAATATGACAAAAACCAATAATTTATTAATAAAATTAATAATTTTCTAATTGCAATTAAATTCCAATTAAATGAATGTGAATAAATGAATGGGTTAATATCAATATGTGTTTCTATTACTAATTCTAATACAAAATGAAGAAAATGTTAATCGATTGAATGAAATTTATAAAATGAAGGAAATGTCAATCGATGAATGACCTATTAATTAGTTTGTTTTGGAAAAAAACATTATATTAATAAATAATTCGATTTAAAATTGTGCATGCATTTTATTAGCAACACACTCACAATTAATCGATTAGAAAGTTTTAGAACATTGATATTTCCTTCGAGTCTGATTTAAAATTAATTTACATCACAGATACACCTAATGATGCAAATAGTTATAAAATAACTTTCCGAACAAATAATGTATAGTTTATGAAGTTACAAGTTACAAAAAAAAATATATTATTGATTTGGCTAGAAAAGAAAATTATACAATTAGAACATTAAGATAGTTTTCTATCTACTCTACCATTTTTATCTTTGATTTTTGTGAAAAAGTAAATAGATTATATAAGTATGAATACTTATTGTTTTGGTCCTATTCACATATATTAAATGTTATCAGAAGTAAAGTACCTGTCCAAATTTAACAGGTCCAATAATTTTACTAATTAACAGGAAAGTTCCTGCATTCTAGCAATAATAATTAAACATATCTAAGTTATCGTTATCGAATCTTCTAATTAACAGAAGTTTTTAGTAATTAGTACTGTTTTTCATTACATCATTGATGTAATTCAAGTAATTGATAAATAAATAAATACTTATTAGATAACATATTTCCAGGAACAAGAAGTGAAAAGTTACCCTAAATACATTTAGTAAAATGATTACAAATAAACTTTTTCTGATAAAAATTGTCAATTGAAGAGGATCGATAGTGATTAATAATAATTATTAATATATTTAAAATAAAACAACTTGATAGTTCTTTACTTTTATTAATAAATTTCTTCAATGATAAATACTTAATAATAATACAAAAATCGGTAAGCAATAGCTGCAACCCATTTAGCGTTTTCATTCATTTTCCACATAAATGATGAAATAAAACGATGTACCTCTAAAACACATTAATTTGCTAGAATAAAACAATTTATATTTCTGGAACAAAATAAAACTTTCCGCATTTTTTAATACAATTTTACATGTAGGCAGTTTGTACGGAAATAGTGTTTTATTCATTTTCTCTACCTTCATGTTTTTCTTCTTCACATTTTTTTTTAATAATTTTCCTTTATAAACAAGTGTGCTATAGTTTATACAAACAAATTTATTTCAAATTTCTAATGACTAGTGTCCGTCTGAGTGCGATAAAGCCTATATCACCAAATTCGGATATCTGCACCTAACATTCATTCTTCGTATTAAGAAGCCGCACGAAATCCCTAAATATATTTCTAAGTCTAGAACACTCTATATATCTTTCTTATTTTATATATAATTCATTTATAACAAATAATTAAGGCCTCGTATATGTATGTAACTTCATTTTCTTCTTCATTATTTACAAAAAGATTCTTCGTGTCGTAATGGAAAATGAAAGTTGAACGTTCTTCGAATGGTCCATGTGATAAATCTGTATGTATTCTTTTTTTATATATGTATTGTTTAGTTTTAGTCATAAATATGTTCTTGGTTTGTTAAGTTCATTACAATCTTAAGGCAAGAGAAATAATTTGATTTTTATTTTTCGCTTTGATCCAAGAGAATTTGTACTTGCAGTTTGTATTAAATAGAAACGGAACGCGAAATGAAACAATGTGATCATCATTTATTATATAAACATTCTATATTACTTAGTTCATATATTATTATTATTTTACGTTCATGGCCGTTTATTTTATTTCTTCAAAAAGATTCCTATTCTTATATAGAAACTAACACCGTTAATAACAAATTATTCTACAGCCACCCAGTGGGGCCGTTGTGGCCGCTCAGAGGAATCACGCCCGGAAGTTTCGGCAAGGAACTTCCGGTGTTGCCCTTATACTCATCCTCTGGTGTTTGAGATGAGCATGTCGTTGGATTGCTCGAGGAGGAATTGTAGAGTAGAGGTTCTCGGGACGAAGTTCCAGTCGCAATTAGTGTATTTTGGGTACCGTTATTTACACTTTCCTCGGTAGTCGATGGAGTTAGTGTTGTAGTGACTGGCGGTATTTCGACGGATTCTTGCTGCGACTGGGTTTGCTCGTGTTTCTGAATTATCTGAAGTACTTCAGGAACACGTGTTGGTACACTTGAAGCACGTTTTAGTACTTGAGATACCTACAACAAAAGAAGCAAAATTACATGTTTTTTTATATTATTATCCAGTTTCGATACTAGTTATTTATATACTGCAGAGGTAATTAACTGTACAGATGAATCACTCAAGCAAGTAACTCTTTAAACGGTCATCAATCCTTGAAACAATATTATTTGATTAAGCACTCATATATGTATGTAACTTAATTTTCTTCTTCATTATTGAAGTTATTTGTATAATATATACATTTATTTAAAATTAATTGTAATTTCATCTCTTTATGTTTATTGTATATATTTAAAGAAAATTTAATGATTTTTTTTGTTGACTGCAAGAATTAATACATTTACAATAATTAATATAGATTATAATAGTAAGAATTATTTGTTATATTTTATGATAAACTTAGTATTTTAAATGTTATCTTTATGTGATATTCATTAATATTTGAAACCAGAAGAAAAGTGCAATTATATTGAACGTTTGAAAATTTGACAAACCCTTTGATTCCTGACCCTTTGAAAGAATGCAATGTAATCACTTTGAATGCACCTCTTGGTGAAGTAGACTCCTTCTGTCTAGTAAGTAAATTTGATACACATTATTTGCTGAATCACGGAAACTGGGGTGAAATCGTAAACCTAGATCATGTACAGGAGGATACATTCGTAATTACCTTACCTTTTTATTACTCTTTCCAACGCAAACGGCGATGGCATGTTCGACGGAATTCTGTGGTGGTGCAATAACGGGACTCGTGTTCCTCGATGCACTGAACTTCTTGCGCTTCTTTCGAAGTAATGCCAAACCGCTGGAGATGCCGTGGAAATGATCCGTGTGCTGAGGTACATGAGCGTCTAAGCTCGGGTTCGAATCAGTTGCGCTCTCCGTGCAATTGTCTTCAGAACCTGGACTATTACTGTGCGAGTGATTGTGTGTGCCATCGCGGCAATGTGAATTACACACTGAATCCTCCGAACGTGATCTACCTATTAATCTGGATACTTTTCCGGCTTTAGCTGCTTCGATTAAAGTGCCCCAACGCCTCTTGTGCGACGACGTTCGCTTCACGTGACATCTGAATGTAATCGATGTAATTAACTTTAAAGTTTTCCATGTGACTTCGAATTATTTACCTTCCTCGATGGTGTCCTTCATTTATACTACCCTGCGAGGACGATACCGTGCTGTGCTGGTGCATCTTCCTCGGAGCTGAGTTGAAGATACCAGAGAGAGTCGAACCGAAGAGATCGTGATGATCTTGCTGTTGCAGAGAAGCGATAAATTCCGCCACTGGAGGCAAAGTTGTGCTTCCCGGTTGCGGGGCAATGTTGAAGCCCTTCATTAATCTTCTCTCTTTTTGTCTATTCTTCTTTCCCCCGGTCCCTAAAATACAATGGGAAAAGTAAATGCGTTGAAATATAGGACGGCAATTGCAAACCATTACCCATCCCGGAATGTGCAGTTGAAGTATTCATCCCGGAGTTTTTGAGAATTTCAATAAGTTCGAAGCGGAAAGCCGATATATCTTGTTTGATTTCATTTACATCGTCCTCGGTGACTCCTTGATTCTCTGCCTTCCGCTGCTCAACAGTTACATATCGACGCACTAAATTTCGCATAATGCTCTGAAAAATGAACCGTAATTATATTATAACACATTACACTACTGCTAATGGTAACAATTTATTTACCTGATACCTAAAATCCCGTTCACTAGCTTGCTTCACTTTACGCTACAAAATGAGAGAACAAATAGTTAATAAATCAAACAACATATATATGAAAGGTATTACTCTAATGGTCCTCATATGTTCCTTTTTAGCTGCTCTCGAATGTCCGCACAGTTTTCTGTGTAGCCATTGGATCACGTACCAAACGCTCTTTGGTGTCGGGATAATGTTGAATGGTGGCGGTGATGTGCCTCCTTCTTCGAAATAGCTTATCCATAATTTACTACGTGCAAATTTCCACTCGACATCTGCCCGTTCCTAGAACATAACTTCAACATTTAACGAGAGCAATACCACTTTTCAAATGGCAATATTCAATTAAGGTGTATTGACTTTTAGGATCGCGTGATTTTTCCGCCCCCGGTGTCGTCGCCCTAAGGGCGCGTTGTTGCATAACATCGTTTCTGCGTGCACGCGATCAGGCATTATTGCATAACATCGCTGTTCGAACTGCTCGATAATTATCATCGTTGGTCCTTTTTTTTTTTAGTTAGTTTGGAACGATCTTAAACCCCAGCAAACAAAACCCCTCGTTTTCGGGATAAGACATTTAATATTAAACGAACCGATCTGGGTCACAGGCATTCTGAATTGTTTGCTTGTAATCTCTTCTTATGCAGATTTCCAAAGCGCAAAGTTTTTCATTATGTAAGAACTGCATAAAGCTTTCACAGCATCATAATACCGATTCTAATATATACAGGCTCATCCGACGAATATGTTGTGTTAATTTTCAATATATGTGATACACTATATTATTAAAACATTTTAATGTTACTTACTGATATGAGTTGGTACGAGTGATTCATCATCGCTATCAGTAGATTTAAAAGAACCACAATATTGATGACAGAATAAGTTCCGAACATGAGCATTCCCCAAAATCTGGTGAATACTTTGATTCCATGCAGATCAAAACTCTCGAGATCTATGAGACCGAAAACAGCCCAGAACAGAGTTTGACTTGTTTCAAATAAGCTGTAAACAAAAAATTAATATAAATAGTATAATAGTATAATATTGAAATAATTAATAATAATTACGTTAAATAAAATTAAATTAAAATTACAATTTGCGATCTTTCCAACCATAAATAGTCTACTTATTTGAAGACATTATGAAATGCGAACTCACTTTGCAAATCTCCTCCAGATGACACAGGCATTCGAATCGGGATTTGTAGCATGCTGCGTCGCATTTGGATGCTCCGTTGGACATTGCATCTTCTCGGCATCGGCGTAATACCACAGCAGTTGATTAAGACCTTGAGAAAGGATATTAATTAGAAAAAAAAAACAATTCTCGTTTTGTTCTCCAACTCTTTTAACGTTCGAAAGAGTAGCGGAAAGATAAAACTCGTAATTCCTGCTGTGTTATCGAATGACCGAATAAAGTAATAATTTTATTTAGGAGACTTTTTCCTAGCTTAATGGCGGATGAAAGAACATCTGGTGAAGCTTAAGGGTGAGGACGAAATGTAATTAAATCAAAAGTTTCCTCGTGTCGACGCTATTCCCTGGCCGCACTAGAAATGGCAAACAAATTATGGGAAAGTAGGAGAGAAAAATCGTGTACACACTCAGGAAAACGTAAGAAAAATAAACGAGTAAACGACGCCCTCTTAATACTCTTCCGAAGGCGGAATATGTAACACCCCCGCGAACCCATCAAGTAGAGATAGCGACACGTCTAAACTCTTAGCGGCGTCGGAAGCCATTAAGGATGTAAAAGACGTCGACGGGAACGAAACGAGATATTTCGAATTATTCAGCGAGAAATAAAGTATACACTCTACCGAAAGAAATAAGCCTGAAGTAGAAAAAATGTATACATTATTGTCGTCGTAATTATTGGTAATAGTTTTAATATTAAAGTGATCCTTTTATGCATATTCACATTATTTTGATTTGTTAATCAAATATAATTATATATTAATGCAACCCGATGATACCTTTTAGAGCTTAAACGTTCTAGGTCATGGTAGTCTTGGGTGCAATGAGAGGAAGATGAGAAATGAGCATATCTATTGAGTTTGCAACCCTCATAAAAATGTATGAAAAACAAGAAGAAGGAACAAAAGTAACAGTAAAGGATGTGTGTTTCCTATTCTTTCTGTCTGAATATAGGATAATTTACACAAGTAGAAACATATAGTAAATATCTAAATCAGTGGTTTCCAAACTTGATGTTACTACGCCTCCCTCAAAAATAATGTAATCAGTTGGCGCCTCCCCAACCCCTCCATTTCACAAAAGGAACGCGTATTACAGCAATATCGATAACAGCACAGGAATGTATCTATACTTGCTGGATTCCCCAAACATTCAGCTTTCACATGCATATATTGGATTCGTTCTATCTATTATATTTCGAGTAAATGGTATTTCGAGTAAATCAATGAAATGTGAAAGCACTACTTTTTCGAACGTTTTTTAAAATTTGAACGCGAATTACAGCGATACGGATAAAACCACAGTAATATTTGAATACTTGCTACATTCCCCAAACATTCAGCTTTCATATGCATCTTTTTGATTCATTCTATCTATTATGGTTTTCGAGTAAACCAATGTAATGTGAAAGCACTACTTTTTCGAACGTTCTTATTTAAATTTTTCAACTTTGAACGTGCATTACAGCAATATGAGCACAGGAATGTATCTATACTTTAGCAGATATTTGGAAAATTGCTCATTGCTACTAATATTCGCGCCTCCCCTTAGACTAACCCACGCCTCCCCACAGTTTGGAAAACGCTGATCTAAATAGAGCCTAACATCAATTAAATAAAAGCTGATACATTGCATACTTCTCATTGAGATATTTTTTTTATGTAATTCGACAGTTTAAATAAAAGAAGTAAATAAATAATAATAAAGAAGGAAGTAAATAATAACGATAAAGAATTTGTAGACGGAATTCACAATGAAAGCGATAAATATTGGAGTTTTCAATAAACTTACCACAAGAGAATGCAAACAGGACGAGGACGTAGAGGAAAAAGAATTTCATGATATCCATCACCATCCGGGATAGGGAGACTTGAAGCGGTCCCAAATGGGGATTCACCGAGAATATGTAGACCAGTTTTAACGAGCTGGAAAACAAACGATGCCACTTTTATTTCACGTACACGTTTCCTCTTCCGGGTCGACAATCCGAACGATGCATTCATCGATTCTAGCAAACACACGAGTTCCGAACCAATTGATTACACACATTCAATACAACCATTGCATCTGCATATGTTCTCACGCACAAATTTCTAAATGAACTTGCGGAAATAACTTCCGTTTAACTTCTGACAGTTATAAACCCTCTCTATGAAGTTAAGGGCGCGTCTTAAAACTTAATTCAAACTGTAATTTAATGATTTAGCGAAACGTTTCACCCCCTTTGCCAGTATAAATTAGGTACAAGAAACGAACGTTGTTAGACTATGTGCGAATCTCGGGTCGACATAATTACCTGAATATGTTGGCTGCGGAGAAGAGACCCTCGGATATTAGCATCGGATCCCAGGCGTCCCAATCATTGCGATGTTGGCTTAGGTTACCCATATTTCCTAAATGCGCGGGTTCCGCATCCGTGCTCAGAGTGTCCAATTGCGTCAGGTTCTTCACACCTGAGTAATTGAAGTAGTTCACCTGATAGTAGGATACTATCCTTAATGCCACAGTTGCCACGTACAAAGAGTTTGTTATGAAATCTATGACGTTCCACATGTCGCGAACGTACTCCTCTAAACCGACATCCCAAAGTTGCTTGATTTCGCTCCAGATTAAACCTAAACATGAGCGAGCAAAATGCGTTCAGCTAGTCTGGAATTTTAACGTTTGTGGATGTTGAGGTAACTTACCACTAACCCACGCTAATATAATCCATTCTACTAACGACGGCTTTGATCCCCTTTTCCGAGGTACGGGATCCTCGTCCGGATCTTTTAGGAATAAAGTTTCTATCCGCTGAGATGCCAAAATTAGCATAACTGAAAGTTAAAAAAGAATGCATTATTAATATCAAAAAGCATTATTAAACAAGCAGAATGGACCGTTATTATTACATAACTATAGGTTTCATTTATTTTCTCATATTATTTATCAAATCAATGAAAAATAATTCAATTTCATTCATCTTGTATTAAATAGTGAATTTTAAACACTTAGTTGTGTTCCTAGATCAAGTAGTATCACATAATATTTGAAGAATTATTACAGATGTTTTTTTTTCAGTTTCATAACATAACGATAATGTTTATTTCAAAACGTATGGCATGTGCATTTAGTGGAATGATTGTACTATCAATATAATGTTGCAAATTTATTATCGCAAGACAAAAGTAATTAAAATAATTATTTGTTTCAATAATGAGTTTAAGAACATTGTAAATGACGTTAATTGAAGTATATTAGCGTAATATAATTATCTAATATAGTACTCATATAGTAAATTAATGTCTAATTAAAATAAACGAGTATTATAATCATTACAATAGATTATATTTTAAATAATTGTAGTAGAATTACAATGAAGCATGTAAATTAGAAATTAATTTGGTTTACAGTTAAACATCAATAATACATTTTTTAATTGGTAAATGTATAGGCAGAAAGACCTATGGTCAATAGCCCTTCGAAGTTAACTTTTTAATTCATGATATTTATATTAATGTATAGTTTTTTTTATTTTGTAATTTTACTGCTTCAATAAATATTATTATTATTTTAAATTCGTATTTTTAGGAAGTCCGTTAAGTATTGTTATCAGTTAATTTTAATTTGTTTAAGGTGAAATATAGTAAGTCATAGAGGAGATTTCACACGATTAAGCGATTTACTATAATCTTGAAAACATTTGTAAATTTATGATGGTTCACATAAATCTGAAGGAATCAAGGTCCACTCTTTAGTATATAATAAGTGAGTACATGTAAATGAAGATAGTGGTGTTCAAAATGAAACGATTGTTGGTGCTTTTTCTTTCGCTCTTTGCAACCCCCGGCGATGGCACTTTGGTTACCACCAGCAATGGACAAATCCAAGGGAGACTTATTAAAATTAATTCCGGAAGAAAAATCCGAGCGTTCTTTGGTGTGAGATACGCTCAACCTCCAATTGGAGAATTACGATTTATGGTAAAGTGAATCATCAAATTATTTAGATAACAACAATAATAATAAAATGTGCAATTTTAACTATCCGGTCTCAGCGTCTATAGAATTGACCCCAATTGAACTTTCTACATATTACATATTACTCGATCATGTTTATTTCATTGACGTCAATAAAATTGATTGTTGTTAATATTTATCAGAAAGTTAGAAAATATTGATATTGAGATTGTATTTTTAGCATTTCAATTAAGAATTTTAGAAAAGTAATTGAAAAGTTTACTACTAAAAAATAAATTATTTAAACAAATATTAAATGTATATTGCTACCAAATAAATTAGGAAAGCATATTTTCTAATTTATTTGATTAAAATGAAACTTATTGAATTTTATTTCTATTTGTTCCTTGCTATAGTTTTGTTCTATCGTATTTATTAGTAATCATAAAATATAAATTTCATTTTATTTTGTTTGCAAATTTACGTTTCTTACTGCTAAATTTATTTAATAGAGCTCATGATGCTAACAATTAGTTATTAAAAAAAAGACTATACCAACAAGTTGCAATAAAACAAAATTATTTAAATTACAGCCACCTCAACCGTTAGAAAAATGGGATGGAATACAAGAAGCAACAGAAATGAATCACGCAATTTGCGCTCAAAGGAATATCTTGATACCCAACAGCGAGATGGAAGGCGAAGAAGACTGTTTATTTCTTAATGTTTACACACCGAAGGTACGCTTGAATCAATTTATATGGTATTAGAATTAATTATTTTCTATACATAAATTTAGAATGTGAGCAAAAATAAATTGCTCCCAGTTATAATGTACGTGCATGGAGGAGCATTTCTTTTTGGAACCGGCAACTATCAAGCCTTCAGACCCGATAATTTCTTGAAACACGATGTAGTTTTTGTAGTCATAAACTATCGCCTAGGTATAATATAGTTTAGGATATTATACAGATAATAATAGTTTTAGTTTAGGTCCTATGGGTTTCTTGTCAACTGCCGACGATGTTGTTCCTGGTAACAACGGTTTGAAGGATCAGACGATGGCGCTTAAATGGATACAGGAAAACATTGAAAATTTCGGAGGAGATTCCAGTAAAGTTACTATAATTGGACAATCTGCCGGCGCTGTTTGTACTCACTTACATGTTATCTCACCACGCAGTAAAGGTATTAATAACTTTATTTATATGCTTAATCGTTTTATAAACATATTTATCAAAACAGGTCTTTTTCGAGCGTCCATTTCCGAAAGCGGAACTGCTCTGGGCAGTTGGTCTGTAGCGCCTCCAAAGTATGCTTATGATGTAGGAAGGAAATTGGCTCGGATTTTGAATTGCCCATCTGAATCCAGTTCGGAAATGATCGATTGCATGAGGAAGATTGATGCAAAGAGGTTTTACGATGTTTTACATGAATTCCAGGTATGATATGACTTAATATAAATTTAATTTTCTTTAGTATTAAATATAAGAAAATATGAATTCAAGGTTCAAATTCTACTAAGTTGATTTCTATAAAATTATAGTACATTTTTTTAAATCAATATTGTATACTGCCTGTATAATCAAATTTAAAAACAAATTTTCTAATTTCGAGTATTGATATTTTTTTTTTAGTTTTGGGACATCGATCCTCTAAGTACATTCATACCAGTAATTGAAATTGATCACGAAGGAGCTTTTATATCCGAGCACCCTGAAGAAACTATAAAATCCGGAAAAGTGAATCCAGTGACTTGGCTGACAGGCGTGAATACCGAAGATGGGTGCGTGAGATCTTCCGGTACGAAACACACTTAATACACATTAAACAAAAACGTGTTAATTGTCTCCTCATCGATTGCAGTTATTATCGAAAATGGACTTTTAGAAGAATTCAAAGAAAATTTTGATGCCATTGTACCAGTTTCCACTTACTACCACGGAAACCATACATTATCCAACGATTACACAAACGCGATTCGCGATTATTACTTTGCAAAAGGTTTCTCCACAGAACAATTAACAAACGTAATTATTAGTTTCACATATTAATCCGCTGTTATTTACGTTTTTTTTTGTTTTGCATGTCAGTTATATACGGATAATTTCTTCTTTGTTGGGGCAGAAAATTCCTTGAAACTGCATAGAGAATATAATAATATTACACTTTATTATTACCTTTTCGGTTATAGAGGATCCAAAAGTTGGTCCGAAACCTTGGCTGGTAATAAAGATGACTAAGATAAATTTAAAAAAATGAATTGTTCATATTTAACAGGTGTTTGTCACTCGGATCAATTGTTTTACTTCTTCCCTATAGAGAATGGTAGTAAACCGACGAAACAAGATATGCTAATGACCGAAAGGTTTACTAATCTTTGGATGAACTTTATATACACTAAGTAAGTGATATATTATTGTTATGTGTTCGAAAATTTCCCAGATTATATATGTTTTATACTATTGTAGACAACCGACGCCTATAAATTCTAAATGGCCGTACACGAAATGGGAACCGGTTCAAACGGACAACAATGAATTCTTTTTCATAGGAGGCCCTGACAAATTTGAAATGGGCGAAAGATTGTTCGCAGATCGTTTGGAGTTCTGGGACAGCTTGAAACCGTTATTAAGATCGAACTAATTTATAAATTGCTGTTTTTATTGTATGTATTGCGTTGGCAAGAAATTAATTCCGGTTTTGTATTATGAAATATAAACTATTGTTTTTATATAAAAAAAAAAGAATTTTAATCAAATATATATTTTTCACATTGTTGTGAGTTTATTAACTTTTATTTACCAGGAAATCTGATTTCACTCATCGATACCTGCATTGAATATTTACTAATTAGTGGAGTTTAAACACGGTAGTTTCTAGAAAATCTTGAGTAATGCAAAAATACTTAAATTAAAATTCCTGAACGTAGTAAAATTATTATAAAAATAATGTGTCTAATGTATTTTTAATTGCAGAATTCACTGGTTGTCACATCAAATCACGTTTTTAACTTATAACAATTCTTATAAGATTCGATTCAAATATCAATTTGGGTTTAGATATATTTTTAAATTGGCAAAATGTTACAAATTGGTATACTTTTGTTATAATTGTATTACTTTTGAAATATTTAATAAAATAATTCAAAATAAGACATTTATTTAGAAATGTGAAAAAAAATTACAATCCAATAATTAATTTCTAAATAGATATTGAATACTTTCTTAAATAAGAAGAGGAAGTTGGAAACGGTTGACCTAATGCAATATTTATAGAATTATTACAATTTTTACAGTTTCATAACACAAAGATAACATTTATTTCAAAACGTGTGGCATTTCGTGGAACGATTGTATTATCAATATAATAATGCATATTTATTATCACAACACAAAAGTAACTAATTTATAGGAAAGTAATTATAAATGTAAATGACGTAAATTGTAGTATATTAGCGAAATATACTGATCTAATGTAGTACTGATATAGTAAATTAATATCTAATTAAAAAAAATGAGTTAAGCATGTAAATTCGAAATTTACAATTAAAAATCAATAATAAATTTCATAGTTGGAAAATGTATGAAATCTCTAATTTGATGTTATCAGAAAATAAATTTGAATTCGTTTAAGGTGAAATAGAGCAAGTCATGGACGCGATTTCTCGCCTAAGCGATTTATTATAATCTCGCACACGTTTGGGAAATTTATGACGGTTCACATAAATCTGTAAAGAATCAATTACAGCGGTGACACATGGACGATCCATCCAGAATGTTATTGTTTACCAAATGCGACCATCCCGGTTGCCAATACACAGCATCACGTTCTTTTATTTTTTTTTAATAGTTCGCCTTTTACGGCCAACTACTAATTCGGATGCTGTTAGCGCCTCGGCTATTAATCTCCTCCGTCGAAATGCTGTGAACCATTTTTAAGTGTTTTCTTTTCAAAATCGGTCTCTAACTCTGTGTACTTAGATGTAATCTATACTTCGATAGGAAAAAAACATTGAATGTTTGAATGTTATCTAAAAATTATTATAATACTTTTATGCATTCTTAATCTTTTATATATTCATATTTTTTATTATTATTTTCATATAGGAATACAAAGGAATTTAATATGTTACATATTATTACTTTTACAAAATATTATTGATAAATAAATAAAAAACGAAGAATTCTTATGAAATAGTCAGTGATAAAATATGTGCAATTTAGAGAATTTGTACTTATTCATGGAAATGTTTTCAAAATACCAACACAAATAAAAATTAGCTTGCAAAAATAAGTGCAATAATCAATATATGAATTAAAATAATAATTATATTAACATTTTGCTAATGTTATTTGCAGAAAATTGTACAGTTTGTATCGAATTTAGTAAGAGAATATCAGAAAAAGATACATTACCGTATGCAAGCAGATTTTGCAAGTCTAGATTAAAGTCAGTCTTAAGCTAGCTTCTAGTTGCTGAAGGCATGAGTTGCTGTTCCAGAGTTTTACTAGAACTAATATAAGTCTAGCTGAGACGTGGCTAGAACTAGCACTAGGACTCTTCCTTGGACTAATTTATAATTATAAAAGCATCTTCAAAATAACAAGTAAGAACAGGCCAAAGAACAAACAATTCACGAGGCTTCTTAGTCTGGGAAACTAATCTTAAGGTCCTGATAAAAAAAGGTTCCGGATGTGTATTTATGCGAGTCTAAACTAAATAGTACATTCGGGAAAAGGTGTGAACAAATACAAGTAATAATCATAGTTATATAATCAATAGGGACTAAATAAGGCTTTCAGTTAAGTATCGCAGAATCATAGTGGTGATTCCGTTTCGGTCCAGTATCTTCAGCTTTCTGTACAACATTATATTTATATATTTTCAATTGATCCTCAATTCCACTATTAAAATACTCTAAGTGATCTGAAATATGCATATTTTTCGTCCATTTATTAATGTTAAATATTGCGGATTCGATTATTGCGGATTGAAAATTTCAAAACAAATTAACTTAAAAGAAATAGTACACAAATTTGTGTCTTTACAGTCAAGTGTATTTTTGTGTTTTTATATTAATGCAGTTATAAGGTCCTCGATTAATCCGGTTTCAAACTATGCAACGCACTATACGATGTCTTAATTAATTCGCTTGTTCTCTATTTAACACAACAAAATTGTTATTACGATAAAGACAGGAAACTTATGAGCGTTTCAATTACATAATGTGCATCAGCCCGTCAGTATATAATAAGTGAGTGCAGGTAACTGCAGGTAGTAGCAATGAAAATGCGACGACTGTTGGTTCTGTTTGTTTCGATCTTTGCAGTCCGCGATGATGGTACTTTGGTTACCACCCGCAATGGACAAATCCGAGGGAAACTTATTAAAATCAATTCTGGAAGAGAAATACGAGCGTTCTTCGGTGTGAGATACGCTCAACCTCCAATTGGAGAATTACGATTTATGGTAAATTGAATCATTTATAAAACAGAAATAACAATAAAATGATTGAATTATTTTAATTTTAAGTAGATCATAAATATGTTACTTTATATACAATTAAAAAATTGTTTCTTTGAAATAACAACTCTCGATACGCCTTTAGACTTGACCCCAATTAAATTTTCTACATGTTACTCCTTGACTCTAATAGAGCTGATTGCTATTAATACATATCACAACATTAGTATTTGTTTTCAATTAATAATTTTAGAAATTGTTTATATTGTTCTTTAGGGTTTATTAGTTGAATATATTAGAAAGTTTACAGCATAATTTGCAAGGTTACGTATCTTACTACTAAAGTTTTTTTTTTATAGTGTTCTTGATTTAAATAACTAAGCCTCTAATCCTTGAACAATTCTCAAAGTATTATCAAATAATCCGAAAACATATATTAAAACAATGCTTGTAGTACAGATTAGATTAGTTGACATAAAATAACGTAAAAATAACAAATTAAATGTAAATTCAGTTTCAGTAAAATAAACAATAATAAATATTTTAATTACAGCCACCTCAGCCGTTAGAAAAATGGGATGGAATACAAAAAGCAACAGAAATGAATCACGCAATTTGCGCTCAAAGGAATATCTTGATACCCAACAGCGAGATGGAAGGCGAAGAAGACTGTTTATTTCTTAATGTTTACACGCCGAAGGTACGCTTGAATCAATTTATATGGTATCAGAATTTATTTTTTTCTATATATAAATTTAGAATGTGAGCAGAAATAATTTGCTCCCAGTTATGATGTACGTGCATGGAGGAGCGTTTCTTTTTGGAACCGGAAACTATCGACTCTTCAGACCCGACAATTTCTTGAAACACGATGTAGTTTTGGTAGTCATAAACTATCGTTTAGGTCCTATGGGTTTCTTGTCAACTGCCGACGATGTTGTTCCCGGTAACAACGGTTTGAAGGATCAGACGATGGCGCTTAAATGGATACAGGAAAACATTGAAAATTTCGGAGGAGATTCCAGTAAAGTTACTATAATTGGACAATCTGCTGGCGCTGTTTGTACTCACTTACATGTTATCTCAGCACGTAGTAAAGGTATTAATAACTTTATTTAAATGCTTAATCGTTTTATAAACATGTTTATCAAAACAGGTCTTTTTCGCGCGTCCATTTCTCAAAGCGGAACTGCACTGGGCAGTTGGTCTGTAGCGCCTCCAAAGTATGCTTATGATGTGGGAAGGAAATTGGCTCGGCTTTTGAATTGCCCATCAGAATCGAGTTCGGAAATGATCGATTGTATGAGGAAGATTAATACAAAGAGGTTTTACGATGTTTTACATGAATTCCAGGTGCGATAAGACTTAATAATATAAATTTCATTTTCTTTAGTATTAAATATAAGAAAATATGAATTCAAGGTTCAAATTCTAAGTTGATTTCTACAAAATTATAGTATATTTTTTAGATCAAAATTTTATACAATCAAATTTAAAAACAAATTTTCAAATTTCGAGTATTAAATTATTTTTTTTTTAGTTTTGGGATATGGATCCTCTAAGTACATTCATACCAGTAATTGAAACTGATCACGAAGGAGCTTTTATATCCGAGTACCCTGAAGAAACTATAAAATCCGGAAAAGTGAATCCAGTGACTTGGCTGACAGGCGTGAATACCGAAGATGGGTGCGTGAGATCTTCCGGTACGAAACACACTTAATATACCTCAAACGAAAACGTGTTAATTGTCTCCTCATCGATTATAGGTATTATCGGAAATGGACTTTTAGACGAATTCAAAGAAAATTTCCATGCCATTGTACCAGTTTCCACTTACTACCACGGAAACCATACATTATCCAACGATTACACAAACGCGATTCGGGATTATTACTTTGCAAAAGGTTTCTCCACAGAACAATTAACAAACGTAATTATTAGTTTCACATATTAATCGTCTGTTATTTACGTTTTTTTTGTTTTGCATTTCAGTTATATACGGATAATTTCTTCTTTGTTGGCGCAGAAAATTCCTTGAAACTGCATAGAGAATATAATAAGATTACACTTTATTATTACCTTTTCGGTTATAGAGGATCGAAAAGCTCTTCCGAAGCTTTCGCTGGTAACGAAGATGACTATGGTGTTTGTCACTCGGATGAATTGTTTTACTTATTCCCTATGGATTACAAATTCAAGAATGGCAGTAAACCGACGACACAAGATTTGCAAATGACCGAAAGGTTTAGTAATCTTTGGATGAACTTTGTATACACTAAGTAAGTGATATATTATTGTTATGTGTTCAAAGATTTCCCAGATTATATATGTTTTATACTATTGTAGACAACCGACGCCTATAAATTCTAATTGGCCGTACACGAAATGGGAACCGGTTCAAACGGACAACAATGAATTCTTTTTCATAGGAGGCCCTAATAAATTTGAAATGCGTGAAAGATTATTCGCAGATCGTTTGGAGTTCTGGAATGGCTTGCAACCGTTATTAAGATCGAAATAATTTATTAATTGTTGTGTTTAAAGTGTTTTCATGTACAATGTGTTGGCAAGAATTACGGTCTTGTAGTATGAAATAAAATAATTTTATTTTTAATAAAATAATATTAATTTCTCATTTTATATAACAAAGATTTTATTGAGAAGTCAACTATACAAGTCTTCATCTCATAGATTATTAACTAACAGTTACATTCTCCTATTAAGTTAATAATTGGAAAGTAAGTGTTCTTCTCTCAACCCACCAACTAAGTCCAAATTATATAGATAAAAAAATGTATCCATTTCAAAAGAAAAAACAGCGTGCGTATATTATTTCTTGGAAAGGAAATCAGTTTTGACTATGTGGAAGATACAATTGATTCTTTATCTTAGTCATCCTACCGAAAATGTTCAGGGACAAAAGAGGATTGTTGAGTATTCATAAAATAGTTAATATGCTGGTGCTTATTAGCAAAAAGAAACTCTACAAAGTACGATTTCAAGTCATCATAATTAGTGAATCTTAAAATAAAATGTTCGTTTCATTGAATACTTAACTATTTTTAAACAATTTTATTGCAAGTACTTCAAATGTAACATCATTAAAAAAGGAGTACATTATTGATATATCAATTACGATCAATATAATCAATTATGATGGGTCGAGAAATCGATGTAGAATTTTTCTATACGTTTTTCAAGAAATAAATCTTATTTACATTAGTAATTATATTTATTCATGAATAATAATGAATAAATTTCTAAAGATTATTAATTAATGTGGAAAAAATGCGTTCAATATGATTGCGGTCGCGACAAAAAAAATGTTATCAAACACATCTTCCGTTGCAATCAAAGCTATATAAGTAGAGGCAGACGGCGTTGTGAATAGTAGTTGTAACCATGAGGAAGCTATTGGTTGTAATAACTTCACTTCTCGCAGCAATAGATGCAGATCTGTTAGTGACCACGCACAATGGGCAAATCCAAGGGAAGTCCTTGAAAATTAAATCTGGAAAGGAAATTAGAGCCTTCTTAGGCGTACGTTACGCAAAACCACCGATCGGAGAATTGCGATTTATGGTAATATATATATTTTTAAAGAAACATCATTTTGCACTTAGAAACGTAATTTGTTCGTTCATTAATTCAATCAAAACAATTTGTAAATTGTTTACTTCCAATAGTAAATATCGTATTTTCTTCTATTATCGGTATATAAACAACGAGTTTAATTAAAAATTACAGTGTAGTTGTTTTATAGAATGTTGATTATAGTATTTTTAGGCAAATCGACGTGTTTCGTTATTATGTAATTTAATGTGTTTACATATATTTAGATGCTCGTGCAAGTCATACATAATCTTGCCTATTTTGATTATCAATATCTTCCAGTGAGATTGGATAATATTTTGATAACAGCACGCATTCACAATTGATATGAACTTCACAAAATATGAAAAAAAAACATGTATAAATAATTTTTCAATTAAATTTGAGCTCAATAAATATATGTATGTAACGAACAAAATAATGCATTGTTTTGTATTTTGAAAAGATTAAACCGTTACAAACTTTGCTATACATAACATTCTTTTAAATTAAATAATCAGTATAAATAGAAGAAAATTAATCGTATTTATGATTTATGTAGCCATGATTAAAAACAAAGATGCATGTCAACATATATATTATGTTGATATATAGTTTAAAATTATTGTAGAATATACATAGAAAATTATTTATTTTTACAGTTTCACCGCATATAATTATTACTGCTTAATTGTAGCAAATTATACAACGAAAAGAATGTGAAGGAAAAATTGTATAGTTTTCGTTTTTTTTAAATCAATCAGATAATTAATAACAGAACAAAATTAAATTATAGCGTGATAGGAAAAATTGAAGATCAATGTTAAGTAAATATAATTGCACCAAGTATTACATAAGTTTATTACCTAATGGTTCTATGCTGCACGAAAATGCCGTTACAAAATATGGCACGAGATAAAAAGGATTACAAAACTATGAACAAAAAAAAAATACTATGTTTACAAAGTCAAATGTGAACGTTGTCTCTCTATAATTACAAGATATAATTGAATCGAAATAAACATGTTGATAATTGCAATAGGAAAAACGAAATATATCAAAGCTACACAGTTTTGAAATTGTTTTTATACCAATAATTAAGAAACAGTTACGGTCAGTTTGTATTTTGTTATTACTATTTGATTACGTAATATGTAAGTACTTATTTATTTTTCTTTACTATAACTATAACTGTTTTATATTAATATTTTTAGTTGAATATAATTATATCATATTTCTTCAATTGAATATTTTTATATGCAAACATTTTATTTTATCTCATAGTTTTGTTTAAAATAAATCGCAGTTATCTAAACGGTAGTTATGAGATCATTTGTTTCTGTAGATAACAATGCAGTCTAGACGCTAACAAATTACCAAGCAATGTCATGGAATTGATAGCGTGATAATACATTACTTTTGACATAACGTGAATTATTATGTGAATTAACAAATAACTTAATTATTGTTATTTACAGCCACCGCAGCAGTTAGGAAAATGGATTGGTATACAATATCCAAACGGAAATCATCCCATCTGCACACAATTAGATTTATACACGCCGGGTAGTACGATCCAAGGCGAAGAAGACTGTCTATTCCTCAACATCTACACACCAAAGGTTACAATCTGAAGCTAAAAAAAATACCTTTTGCAGAAATAATATTTAACATAATAATAAAAAAAATAGGTTTCCAGTAAATTGCTGCCGGTTATGGTGTACATTCACGGCGGAGGATTCTTATCCGGTAGCGGAAGTTCTACGTTTTACGGCCCGGATAGTTTAATGAACGAAGACGTGGTGCTGGTCGCAATAAACTATCGGTTAGGTGAGTCCGCGTCCCNNNTAAAAATGACGAGATTTAAGGCATCACCGTTAAAAGTTCACTTTATTGTTTGTCATTCGTTAGAGGAAAAATACGTTGCCTGCGTTTACAATATACCCATCGTTTATCTTTCCTCAGGAGCGCTCGGCTTTTTGTCAACCGGGGATGAGGTTGTTCCAGGAAACAATGGATTGAAAGATCAGAACGTCGCGTTACGATGGGTCCAAGAGCACATTAAATACTTCGGAGGAGATCCAACCCAGATCACAATCTTTGGTGAATCTGCCGGTGGTGCTAGTGTTCATTTCCATGTTATATCGTCTCTTAGTAAAGGTAAAAAAGCAACAAAATATACTTACAATAATCGATATTCAATGTCTTCGAATTTGATAACATTTCTTACTTACTTATTTATCTAAAAACATAATTATATCTAGTATCTGAAACTGTTATTTTTTAACTTAAAAATTATACAAATTTATCTTAAAATCGTTTTGAAATAATCCTACAATTTGAAGGCAATCAAACAAATGTAATATTTTTTTTATACAGGTTTATTCCACGCAGCGATTTCTCAAAGTGGAACATCGGTATCCCCTTGGTCCTATATGTTGCCTAAGGAAGCTTACGACTTTGGTAGGAAACTGGCTACTATTTTGGACTGCCCCACCGAATGCAGCAAGGCAATGATCAAATGTTTGCAGTCGTTCGATGCAAAGAGATTCCCGGAAGTGCAAGATCAATTTCTGGTTTGAGATTTAGTGCTGCCTTTATATGATCATATGAATATTACAATGATTCTATTTTAGTTTTGGGACATTGATCCGTTGGCATTATTCACGCCCGTCATTGAAATCAAACATGAAGGATCTTTCATATCTGAATATCCCGAAGACATTATCAGAGATGGCAAAAGCAACCAAGTACCATGGATGACAGGAGTAACTAAAGATGAAGGCGCTTTTCGAACGACTGGTTCGTAAATTACGAAAACATTGAATTCAGATAAAATGATTATAACTTTCAGGATTGTCAGCGAAACGGCTCTTCGATAAATATTATAAAGATTTTGATAGGATTGCTCCATTCTCTTTGTTTTACGGTGGAAGAGTATCGTCGGAAAAAGAATACACTAAGAAAATTCGTGAATATTATTTCGGAAAGGGATTCAGTGAAACTCAAACAAAAAATGTATTCGATTATAAATATCTATAAATTTGTTGGATAACAATTAATGTTGTTACGTTACAGTTATACACAGATCGTTTCTTTTTCGAAGGCGCAGAGAAAGCAATCAATCTGCATAGGAAATATTCCAAAGCACCACTCTACTATTACCTATTTGCTTACAGAGGTGCAAAGAGCATGAGTGCAGTATTTGGTGATAAAATAAATGACCATGGTATGAATAGCATTTGAAAGTTCAATTTGTTCATTAATTATTTTGAATATTAGGTGTATGTCACGCTGATGATTTACTTTATCTGTTTCCATTGGAGGATACCTTTTTCAATGGAGAGAAACAAACTGTGGATGATAAAGCGATGACTAAAATGTTATCGAAACTATGGACCAACTTTGCTATACATAAGTATGAATGTTTTGCAAATACATTCGCAATGTTACAAAAACATCGTTTCGTTTTGTAGACAACCAACTTTGAAAGATTCTAATTGGTCTCACACCCACTGGAAACCTGTGCAAACCGAGGAAAATGAATATTTTTACATCGGAGGCCCGAAAGAGTTTAGAATGGACAAACAATTGTATAATGACCGTTTCAAGTTCTGGAAAGATATGGAAGTTTATTTGAAAACGCACAATCAAAGGGATGAACTTTGATATCACACGAATTTTACTGTAATATGTACAATACGCATTATACAATTAAAGTTATAAAGAAAAAAATACCCGAAAAGCGAGTTGTTGTTCTTCGTCCAAAAAAAACAACAACTTTGTAAATAATATTCTAACAAAACAGATAACGTAATAATTAAAAATTACTTGTTATCTCTTGACTTTGCTATCTATATAAAACGCAAAAGTTGTTGAAATTACGTATTAGTTTCAAAAATGTTGCATTTATTGATGTTAGTAATTTTACGAGTTGCTGCTTCCGAAGATGAAGGTCTTTTAGTGAGCACACGCAACGGAGATATCCAAGGGAAGATGATGGAAATAAAGTCGGGGAACGAAATTAGGGCTTTCTTGGGAATTCGATATGCAAAGCCACCAATTGAAAACTTAAGGTTCATGGTAATGATTTTATTATTATATTGTTTAAGAAAACTAAAAATAAACAAACAACATTCAATTGGAAATTGCATGCGCATAAAAAAAAACAGGTTTTGTTCGTTGGTTATATAAGAGAATAAACGCATTAAGTGCACTTTAGTTAACGTAATGTGGCTACCGTTACTGTTGGCTTCGGCAATCGCTGCCTCCGACGAGAGTCTTATAGTCATCACCCACAATGGGAAGATTCAAGGAAAGTACATGCCAATCAATTCCGGCAAAGAAATCAGAGCCTTTCTTGGTGTTAGATATGCAAAGCCTCCGATCGGGGAATTAAGATTTATGGTAACGTTTCAAATATAATAGAGAGAGAAAAAACTGAACAAACCAAATATGAGATCTGAAACATTTGAACTGTAATCATAAATAATGTATTCTCACTCAATTGCAAAGCAAAATTGTTTATAAATAACTTTTGTTACTTGCTTTAATTATTTCTCACATAATTAAAAAAAAAATCCACGTAATTATGATTCAATTGACGTACTTCCCGAGATCTAAACTAATATCATTATTATTAATATAATTCAAAGTCCATATGTATATTTGTTTATTTAAAAATATTAATTGTTACTATTTTTTATAAAAAAAAATACTGATTTTAACATTGTTTAATTACAACAAATCAGTTTCTTGACTTTTTGTTAGTAACAGTAGACAAATCAGTATATAAATCTAAACTTTAGCCTCCGCAACCGTTGGAGAAATTGCAAGGTGTGCAAATGGCAACAACAATCCACGCATCTTGTCCGCAAGTAATTACCTACATACCAGGAAGCCAGTTCGAAGGTGAAGAGGACTGTTTATATCTCAACGTATATGCACCAAAGGTTTAAATGAAAAATTGAATTAAAGCATCATCATTATATGAACGATCAATCCAACAGGTTTCCAATAAACTTTTACCGGTTATGGTGTATATACATGGCGGAGGATTTCTGTTTGGTGGAGGAAACACACTTACCCATGGACCAGACAAATTACTCGATGAAGAAATCGTATTGGTAGTAATTAATTATCGATTAGGTAAATCACATAGGACATTTTGGAAAAGAACTTTAAGGAATATACATTATTATGCAATAAGGTCCTCTGGGTTTCTTGTCAACCGCAGATGAGGTAGTCCCAGGCAACAACGGTTTGAAAGATCAGACAATGTCGTTGCGTTGGGTGCAAGAGCATATTCAATATTTCGGTGGAGATCCAACGCAAGTAACTATTTTCGGTGAATCTGCCGGAGGCGCTAGCACACACTTCCACGTCATCTCTTCACTTAGTAAAGGTAACGATTGTAGATGTTAATAACTAACAGTTAATCGGATTTCATAACATTTAGGTTTATTCCAAACGTCAATTTCGCAAAGTGGATCTGCTTTTTGTCCTTGGGCTTTGTCTTCGCCAAGAGAAGCTTACGATTTAGGTAGAAAAATAGCCAAGCTTTTGGAGTGTCCCACTGAAAGTAGCGAGGAAATGGTAAAGTGTTTGAAAACAATTGACGTGAAGAGATTTTTCCAAGTCCAAGCTCAATTTTTGGTAAAATTAAATTACTTAAAATATATAAATAATTTATTTAATTAATTTAGCATTGGGACGTTGATCCTTTGACAATATTTGTTCCTGTGATCGAAATTGATCATGACGGTGCTTTTATATCGAAACATCCAGAAAACATTATAAAATCTGGTGAAGTAAATCGCGTTACTTGGATAACCGGATTGACAAAGGACGAGGGAGCGATAAGATGTTGCGGTAATTTGTTAATCATTATTTTTGTATCATTCAAATGATTGTAGTGATTTAATTGCAGGAATTGTTGGCCGTGGACGCTTCGATGAGTTTAAGAGAGACTTTGATAAAATTACTCCAGCTTCATTGTTTTATAAAGGAAGAGTGTCATCTGAGAAAACGTACACTAAGAAAATTCGTGATTTTTATTTTAAGAAAGAATTTTCTGTGCAGCAGACTACTCACGTAAATGATGCTTTTGCTATTTCATAATACATAATACATGTTTTGTTGATTTCAGATGTATACAGATGGTTTAATTTTGATGAGCTTACAAAAAGCTTTGAATCTCCATAGGAAGTACTCCAAGATTCCGTTATATTTTTACTTATTTAATTATAGTGGTTCGATGACTTTCACAGAAATCTTTGGCGATAAGGATAACGATTATGGTTAATCGTATTGATCAATCATATTGATGCAAATGAAATAATTTTTTGTATATTTTGTAGGTGTATGTCATGCAGATGAATTAATCTATCTGTTTCCATACGAGGACGTGTTCTTCGGTGGAAGAAAACCGTCGGAAAACGATGTGTTAATGACGAAAACGCTGACTAAACTTTGGACTAACTTCGCTAAATACAAGTGCGTATTATTTCAGAGTGGTTTAATTAGAGTATTAATTACGGCTGGGAAGTGAGCCAGGAACAGTTTGAAAGCACTTGATTATTTTTAGGCAACCAACCGTGAGTGACTCAAATTGGTCGCACGCCCAATGGGAGCCGGTCCAGACTGATAGCAACGAATACTTTTACATCGGAGGACCTGATGAGTTTAAAATGGATGCAAATATGTTCCCGGAACGCGTGCAGTTCTGGAACGAATTGCAGGCTTCGTCAGAGTACAAGGACGAACTGTAGAGATTTATACTACATACAAATATTTTTTCTTTTAGTAGTAGAAGTAGCAAAGATTGTGCAATAAAGATTATTTGAATAAGTAATTGTAATGATTGGATACTTACATAGGAAGGCGAAGTAGGACGCCGAGTGGCAAATGAACTTGATGAACGGCTTCCTCATCGTTTGCCCTATGAGCGAGTGAGGTGCTATGATGTATCCGATCGAGAAAATCGGGAAGAGAATACCGATCCGCACTATTTCCAGGGCCTGCAGAACCATGTTCTTCCGCCGGAAGCCCGGTAATCCTTCGTACCATATCGACGCCAGCAGCTGCTGCACGTTCGAGTGCGCCACGAACTGAAACACAAAAATTTATTCAGTTCCTTCTTGATAACATTTTATCGTCCATTATTGAACCTACAGACGTTGCATTATAAATAAAATACAAAATTAAACAAAGATACATTTTATTTATAGATGATTAATTCAAAAGTTCAAATGTTAAACACGTATTTACTTGCAATTGCTTTCGTTTCTATCTCTAACAGTAAATTATATAAATTCATACACAACATTATTGTTTTGTAATGGAAAACTCAAATTTAAATATCCTTCCAAATTATTTTAAGTAAAAGTATAGAAACACATGATTTTTTTCATTACATCATATAATATTTACTTGATTAAAATCTACTGTCCTGTTTTTAATAAGAATTTTTATAAGAAAATATCTTGGTGATATAATAAAGACAGCTATAGAGAAATACCACCCCTTATGCCATCATATTCTTAGGTTGTTATAGTGATATGAAGAAGTTCAGATATATTAAATTATTTCATATATATATACTAAAGCAATTGTTATATTTTGTAACTTTTGTATAAATATTTGCAAATAATTGAAAAGATATTAGATGGTAATATTGTTCTGATGTTAATTAAAATGTTTACAAATTAATAATAAAATATGATTTCTTAATAGTAACAAACATTTATTACACACATATATTAACAGAGTTATTTATAGATAACAAAGTTTAATTAATAATAAAATTTAATTAATAAATTATTATATGAAAACAAAGAATAATTATATTCAGACTTGAAATACATTTATATATATATAATGCAATTACGATAATAATGATTAAAAACAATAAACGCTAATTAGTTTTAATTGCATGGATTCATAATAGAAATTGCCAATATTTATATAAATTTATTTCAACATCAGTGCAATATGAAAAGTTTTTCCAACCTTTATTCTATGAATGAAATCAATACAAATAGCTGCAAAGGTCAACGTTCTTTACAAAAGAAAAATGTTGTCTCACTGAATGCCAACAACCTTGCGTTTCAATAACTTAGACTAGTAATCATACAGTGGGATGTATTTTGTTTCAAATCTATGCAGAGAAGATAATTGTGTGTTTATATAGACAATACAGATGATAATTGTCTCCAGTTTCACTTCTCTATTATTAAAACACTGAAATTTGTCGTGTAAATTACGAACAATAAGATTCAAATACAGAATAAAAACTACTAATTTAATGTTCGTTTTACGGAACAGTTTTACTCAAACTATACTTAACATCAAAATTTCAATAAATTATAGAAAATATGATTATATTACTTCGGTTAAAGTTACCAATTGTATTAAAGTCTCGATATAACAAAAAACATAATTTCCAATCTCTTTAACGTAAAAATATTAAAATTTTAAGATCAATCCAAGTTCTCAAGAAAACTCAATCAATAGATTTCAAAACTGTTAACAAATAAAATGTAAATCTTCTGATATAGAAAAAATACAATATGTTTGTATGTACAATTGAAATATGGGAAAAACTTTAAATTATTATTTTAAAAACTCTAATATTATCTGTGTTACATATATAATATCGAATTTTTTCATTCATATCATTTTGTTTACCGAAGTTTTCATTATAAAATAGTAGTTTTATAAAAATGCGACCTGTAACATGTAGATTATTATCATATAACACTGAAATTCATTTGATGTTTTTCTGTTTTGCTTTTCATTATATGCAACCGTGTTTTAAGCTCGTTGATGTTCTAATCTGACCGTGCTGTGCAGAATAATTATTAGTATCATAGGTGTTATCCGCTGACCTAGATTTAAAATGGCAAAGCTGTTCATCATTAGCTGCACACTGTTTGCCATTAATATTGGCTATTAGATAATTAATAACTTCAGTTATATCTTACGATCTGTAATCCAGATGGACTACAATTATATGAGATAGGAGGAGGATTTTCAACAACGCAATTTGAAATTGCATCCAATCTGTTGTTTTTTTTTCAGGAAAGAATCATTCCTTGATTTGTTTCCTATTGGTAACGATGATTACCGCATCGTGTTTACGTTTGCGTTGTATACGAGTGTGTTATAGTTTTATAGGTCAGGTGAACGGGTTTATTGCCCCTTTAATGTATTGTAATAATAGGGCAGTGTGTAAATTGCAGTCGCTGAAGTCCTTAATGATTGCAAGCCCTACTTCTACGGTGGTACATGGAGGTACCGTAAAATGGCAACCCACTTTAGGGCTGTTGACATTTCCAAACAAAATATACAAGAGTGCCCCCTTCTCTTGTATTCAGTTAAATTTTTTAATATTAATTCCATCTGCAAATCCATTAAAGTGTCCCATTACCTGCTGCCTACATGAAGACTCGCAACCATCGTACAAAGAAGTTTCTTCTTACACTCCTCCTCGTTACGGACTTGAGTAATGGCAGGATCAGCGTTCCTCGCCATAAATCTACATAAACGTCCAGACAGCGTGTAATTTTTGCACTCCGGTAAACGAAAAACATAATAATATCTTACCTATAACACTGATCCAGAGCAGTGGCAATTTTAATGATATGATCGGAAATTGAGCCGGGTTTCAAATTTTCTACACCATAAGCGTCTTTGAACGACTGAACTTTACACCAGACTATGTCTATGATCAAAAATAAACTCAGCACTATAATCAAAGTCTTTTCTTGTAATCATGAACAAAATAATAAAATAAGTAAAATCTAAAAAATTAATAATAATTTAAATTTCAACTTTGGTGTATCTAATCCATTCCAGATAATTTCCACATTCAAATAACTATTGAGAATCAGTGCGAAAAAAAATTCGCAAATAATAAATGAAATCCGCTAATCAATTATTAACGATGAAAGTAATATCAAGTACTCGAGCAGATTTGGTCCCAATTGTATTATTTTTTTTAAATTCATTAAATAAACTGATAAGAGGAAAGTCCATGCATCTGGTTATTTTGGAAACGACGATAAGTGGAACAAAGTTGCGCCGTCATCTAATTAGTATAATGAAAACATGTTTATAAAAAAAATTGGAAGAATCTCTATTGTTCAGTGCAAAAAAAAATAATCTCCAATTGGACAAAGATAAATTAGCGGAAGTTCAGAGGTGGTGGGAGTTGATGTCTGATCTGATCCTTTATATAGGATGTAACCAATTCAAGGTTCTCAATTCGCCAAAATGAACGCGAAAATAATTTGGCTTTTCGCGATTCTAAGCTTGGCCAGTGCCAACTCAGGTAAACTTATTTAATTTAATTCAATTCGAAAAGTATATAGTAATCATTTAAATGAATTGTTTCAGATTATTATACAAAGGTACGAAATGGAATGCGTGATTTGTTTAAAACTGGAAAAACTAACAAGGCATTGGAAGAGACCGTCGGGAAAATGGGATTGGAGCATTTCATGAGGTTCGACTACAAGGATTATTTCCCCGAGAGGAGTTTGATCTGCGAAGGATGTGAGGCTATTTTGGATGCTCTCATCCAAGAGAGACGCAACGGCACGGATCGGGAAACGTTCGTTGAATATTTAAAGGACGTCTGCGTTCAATTGAATATCCAAGCAGATTATGTTTGCGAAGGGCTATTGAACAGCAACGTCGATATCATCATGTACATCATCGATAATAAACCAGATCTTGACGGTCATTTGGCGTGTCCAATGGTGCTTCAGAGTTTAGGATGCAGGGAACACGATCCGGTCGAGTGGAACATCGAAATACAAGGAAAAAACACAGTGGAGAAACAAAAAGTATTACATTTTGTATGTGATTAACAAATTACTATTATAGACTTTCATTATAGGGAAGCAACGAAGAATTTAAGATTCTCCAAATTTCCGATATTCACTTCGATCCAAACTATCAGGAAGGAAGCTTGGCTAACTGCAATCAACCAGTTTGCTGCGAATTCGACAGCGGACTTGTAGAGAAACCTGAAGATGCTGCAGGAAAATGGTCTGAATATAACAGCTGCGATACTCCACTAGATTTGGTCCATGCCACTTTCCGTCACATCAATAAACAACATGTATGTACAAATACAAATTTATTTGATTAATTTATTGTTAATATTTTAATACTTTTCAGGACGATTTCGACTATGTTTATTTTACCGGTGACATAATCAGTCACAGAGTTTGGGCTACGGACGTCTACAACAACACTAAAGACATGATCACCATCCTGGATGCCACTTACAAAGCTTTTGGCGACATTCCAGTTTTCCCAATTCTAGGCAATCACGAACCGCATCCATTGAATGTGTAAGTACTAACATCGTTTTATATCCGGCAATCTCTTAATTATTTTATTTGCAGTTGGTCGTCGGAGGGTGTAACAACCGAGGCGATCTCTACTCAATGGGTTTACAATTTAATCGCGGAAGAATGGGGAAAATGGTTACCTGAGGAAACCAAAGAAACAATTCTCAAAGGCGGTTACTACACTGTACTTGTGAAACCAGGTTTTAGGATCATCGCTATCAACAGCAATGTTTGCTATACTTTCAACTGGTACGATCCGTTAAATGAATTTTAATTATAGAAATACTAATTGTAATTATCTAGGTGGTTGTTGTTCGATGAAGTTGATCCATTCGGTCAACTGCAATGGATGGAAGGTGTCTTGAACGAGGCCGAGAAAAGTGGAGAATCCGTTCATATTCTATCGCACGTTCCTTCTGGCGATTCCACATGTCACATCCCGTGGGCAAGGGAATTCAGGAAAATCATTCGCAGATACTCGAACACTATTTCTGCTATATTCAATGGACACACTCACGAGGACGAGATGATCATTTACTACGATGAAGAGGAACCCACCAAAGCAATCAACGTTGCCTTCAACGGCGCCAGTATAACCAGTTATGCGGACAGGAATCCAAGCTACAAAGTGTATTCCATCGATAAATCAAATTTCGTAAGTGCACTGAAGTTTCTCAAGATTCTGCTTACATAATCCTGATAACAATTTTAGAACGTCCTCGATTTCGATGAATGGATATTCAATGTCACCGAGGCCAACTTGACTCCTCATCAAGATCCCGTATGGTACAAATTGTATTCTTTCAAACAAGCTTACGGAGTCGACAATATGGAACCTCAATCTCTTGCAGATTTGACTGTAAGGATGGCAAGTGACCATAATCTTTTGGACGAATATTTTAGGTAAAAACATCCGATTACATAATAAAAACCCAAATCTTATAATCGTATTTACAGATTTAATGTTCGAGAAGCAGATACGGCCATGGCCAAGGGATGCGACGATAACTGCAAAAAATTCAACCTTTGCGAAATGGTTACTGGTCTTTACGGCGACACCACGCAATGCGATGCTTTGATGAGTCAATGGAAGTAATTTTATTTGTTTTAAAATAAGAACATGTACTTTGATTGATATTATACTTTCTTGTCTTGAATAGCATAGTTATTCTCTTAAAAGACTTACGCAAATAAAAACCGATAGATAGTATCAATCTAATTATAATTTGTTTTCATCAATAAAACCTATTGCAAATAAAAATTGCTCACTTTATCTCCTTTAATCCATGATTGTACCGATAATCACGGCTGATAAAATTGTATGTATCGATTTCACAAAAAAAAATAAATAAATCAAATAATAAAGAAAATTCTTTAATCGCTTCTGATCTATAGTGGGGGCATATTAGATTTATATAAATAGAGTCCTATTTCATCATTTGCTTCACAGCTCATTAAAAATGTTAACAAAACTTTTTGTGTACACATTAATTATTGGCTTTGTTGTAGCCGAAAATGGTAATTAATTATAATTCTTATAACTCCATTACTTCCTTTTGTTCTAGACTCTTCAGCAAAGTTACAAAGAGGTATTAAAGAATTGTTCGAAACTAAAAGGACCTCGCAGGAGTTGTCCGAGGTTGTAAACAGGATGGGATTGAAACATTTCCTCAAATTCGATGCTAATAAATATATCGAGTCAAGTTTATTATGCGAAGCATGTGAAGCTATTTTGGACGCTTTAATTGATGAAAGACGAAACGGCGCTAGCAAAGAAGCCCTTGTCGGTATATTGTATGAATTCTGCAAAGACAATAAAATTCAAGCTGATCATATTTGCGACAGTTTACTCAACATGAATGCTGTGAGTATAAAATTGAATGAGTGAAAGAATTAAATTCAATAAATATACTTTTAAGGATATTGTACTTTACATCATCGACAATAAACCGGATTTGAACGGAGCCTTTGCTTGTCCGACACTTCTGCAAAGTTACGGCTGTCGTGGAAGCGATCCCGTCGAGTGGGACGTAGAAATAAGCGATGGAAAAACTGTTTCCAAAATAGAAGTATATATTATTTCTTAATTCTTATGCAACGAGCAGTAATAATTCTTTTCCGATAGGGAAGCAACAAGTCCTTTAAAGTGCTCCAGTTTTCTGATATCCATTACGACGCCAACTACCAAGTTGGCAGTTTGGCTAATTGCCCGTATCCAGTATGTTGCGAGTTTGATAGTGGAGAGCCTTTAAAGCCCGAAGACGTTGCCGCCGGAAAATGGGGCGAATACAGCTGTAACACACCTATGGACACTTTGGAGGCCACCTTCAAGCATATTCTTAAACAACACGTATGGATTATTCATCAGCAGTAATTATGTTACGTATACATTCATATTTTAGGAGCAAATTGATTACATTTATTTCACGGGCGATATTATTGGACATAGAGTTTGGGGTACTGATCCTTTCAACAACACGCAGGACATGATCAAAATTTTGGATACAATTCATAAACATTTTGGTAATATCCCTGTATTTCCCATCTTAGGAAACCATGAACCGCATCCAGTCAATGTGTAAACACTAGTTGATTTATTTTTTTGTCGAAACAATTAAAATTTTAAATTACAGATGGTCCGCTGATGATGCTATTCAAGAGGAATTCTCAACGCAATGGGTTTTCAATGTATCTGCTAAACATTGGTCAAAGTGGTTACCAAAAGACACTCAAGAGACTATATTGAGAGGTGGTTATTATACTGTACTTGTGAAACCAGGCTTCAGGATTATTGCAATTAATAGCAACGTGTGCTACACATTCAATTGGTAATGCGCATAAATCTTCTGATCTATCTACATGTTATTATATTTCTAAACGCAGGTGGCTTTTATTCGATGAAGTTGACCCTTACGGTCAGCTCCAATGGATGGAAGGTGTATTGAATGAGGCTGAAAAGAAGGGCGAAGTAGTTCACGTTTTATCGCACGTCCCGTCAGGTGATCCCACGTGCCATTTGCCCTGGGCAAGGGAATTCAGAAGGATCCTCCGCAGATATTCCAACACTGTTTCGGTTATCTTCAATGGACACACTCACGAGGATGAAATGGTAATTTACTACGATGAGAAAGATTCCGCAAAACCAATTAACGTTGCTTTCAATGGTGCGAGTCTCACCACCTATTGGAACCGTAATCCCAGCTACAAAGTCTACACCATCGACGAAAAGAGTTACGTAAGAGTAATCGTGCATCACACGTTGAACACATGATTCATAGTAATTTTCAGGACGTCCTCGATTACGAAGAGTGGGCTTGCAATATTACGGAATCAAACTTAAAACCTGACGAAGATCTGACTTACAACAAATTGTACTCCTTCAAGGATGCTTACGGTGTGAGCGACATGAGTCTCCAATCATTGTCAGATTTAACAGTCAGAATGGCAAAGGATCACTCGCTTTTAGATGAGTATTACAGGTATTTCGTGTTGGATTTATAGAGGATTTGCGCATAACACAACATTTGCTTGTTTAGATTCAGCGTGAGGGAAGCCGGACCGGCGATGGCCGACGGCTGCGATGATGATTGCAGAAAATTCAATTTATGTGAAATGGTGACAAGCCTTTATGGAGATACCAAACAATGCGATACATTATTGGCTCAGTGGGATTAGGTTTAAATTTATAATTATATTTATATAATTTCAAATAATTTCTTGTAATAGAAAATACTACAAAAATAATAATCACAGAAAATAACTGAGTGTTTACTTACCTTTTTCTGTCTTAATTTGATGGCTAATTTCAATCGATTCAAATGCATCCTTTCGCCGTGTTCAAATGCTGGACCGGTAGGATCATGATTAAGAAGAACTTCAAGCTCGTACGAACTCCGGGTGTGATCTAATAAGGCAGTCGCAAAGTCCTGACACTGTCTCCTAAGCTCTTGATATTCTATCTTGAACTCGTGTTCTAAGAAGCTCAGTCTAAACAATCAAACAAAAACATAATGTAATAAGTAATTTGTCCATTCGAATCATATACGAAAAGAGCAATATAATACTGTGATAAATTGAAAAAAAATCGCATATAGTTGCGCCTTTATTGGACTGTTGAGATCCTTCCACATATGAAAGAAATACCTCGTATAAATTCATAAAGCCTTATCTGTGCTTCCCTTTTCATTGATAAAAGAAATACGAAAACGATAAGGATGGTAAAGAAAAAATAATAGTATCAGCAAGGAACAAAGAGATTACAGATTAGTAATCCGTGTTCATCTTATTCCGAGCCGCATAATCCGCATCTCTTCCCTTGAAAAGGCAATAAGGGAAGGCCTCTATGCCGATGGGAAAATCAACACAAGATACCCACCCAAATAGCTTAATAAGTGGTTCAGGCTGCGGCAGCGGAAAACATTATGGAGATTTCACCTCAATCTCAACAGTGGCGATGCCGAAAGGGGAAGATGAGTGTGCCAAGTCGCACTTGCAATTTAATGAATCCATTAGGTGAATAAAAGAGTGAAGGGGTGAAAAAGAGTGAGTTAATTGAATCTCCAACTGAAAGGGGTTTTTCGTTTTGTTCTGGAGGGGGTTTGTTTTTCTTTCAAATTACCTGCGCAGCTCCCAGGAAAGTTCGAAAGCCGTGAGAATCGGATCCTTGGAGGATAACGCAATGAGGGACGGAGAAGCCAACGCTCGATACGCATTTATTCGTGAGCGGGAGTGCCTGAGAGAATCCTCCATGCGCGACGTCACGCACTCATCGCATCCGCATCTGGAAGGAAATACAAAATTACATTTCAATCTTTTGCTAAAATTAATATATTAATCATTTAAATACAAATGTACAATTTAATTAGAATTACTTTTTCCTTCTAGAATTATTTATGTAATTTTATATAAGGAATCATCAAATACAACAAATATATTTTTTTACATTTTGCTAAGTATTTTTTTTTGTATATTCTGCGTTCAGCTTTCATTTGCCGAAACACAAATATACGAAAAAAAAACAAGCAATACTAAAACGTTTGGTTTAATGTTTGAATTTCCACTTTTTTTTTGCCAGTTGCTGAATAATTGGAATTCGATGGTACTGCGGGCAAAATTGTGCTGAGCAGCGCAAATGAAGAGACGGTATACGAACCCTCATCAAGTGCTCTACCAACTCGTCCTGGTTATATATATATATACAAATATAAGCCTGATTAATTCAACACACGAACAACGACCAGCGTATACATTAAAAAGATCAAATAACGAGAGTAAAAGGACCTGTCCAGTTAGATAAAATAATGTTCAAGTTCTAAAATAAATTGCCTCATTTTGAAAACCTCCTTCCAAAAAAATTAACTGCAAATGAAAGTAAATAATATTCACTTTATTATTACGTTTAGGTTCAGATAAAAGTGCTGTGCAGTTTTTAATCAAAAAATAAACGTAAAAATATGTAAAAACAGTATTTGCTACTACCCGGCAATTAATAATATTTATGTATAGAATAGAAGAAAAGTAAATAAAAATTGAAATATTATATTTTATGATTCTAAAACCTAAAATGTACAATTAATATATTGATTTGAAATAGAACTACTAATAGAACACTTGTTAATTGTATTTTTTTAATAGAATTAAGTTGAAAACAAAATTAGAATAGCAAAAAAAAACTCTAAATTCTATAGAATAATTGGATTATTCCATCGAACGATCATCTTATCAGGAGATGTAGGAGAGATCACGTTCCGTTTGGAAATATAAGGAAGTCGATGTGCAATTGAACTTGACACAGTGGAAATCTTATCGGTTTCGATTGATCGCAGTTGCCTCGGAGATAAACCGCGATTTTAAGCAATTGATAGTGGGTAAATAGGTGAGAACGAAATTGACGTTATATAATTGTATATTTAGTACAAGTGCTCATATGTGAAACACTTATTGTTCATATTTCAATGACGTTACATACTATTGATTACATACATAGTTTGAATGATTATTACATATTATCAATATATTTAACAATATTTAATCTGTTAGATAATAAACTTTCATAAAGTTTTAATAAATTTGAATTAGCAAATATTAGTTATTTTATTTGTTATATTTTATCATAATCGATGCGAAATGTACATTAACAATGTAATGTTTTATATTATTGAATTAATTTATTAGTGTACAACTTGGAAGAGAAGTTAGAAATAGATTTCATACGGAACTATACACTTCATCTGCTCTTCAAAGTTGTGGCTGTTCCATGTAAAAACTCACGAAACGTTAGAAAATTAAAATACGCGGAAGAATGTGAAGCTTATTATATTGTCAGGCTAATGTAATTTATTTTCGGAAGTGTGCATTTAATTTTGTGGAAAGTAGTGTAATCCCATATAACGAAGATTATCATTAATCAAAGTGAGTAAATCCACAGCGAAGGTTCGCTGAATTCTGAGAGGGCAAAGTATGTGAATTCAACTAACCTAATATTTCAATCGCAAACTTTGTTTCTTTAATCAAGATTAACGATTTGCAAATACCACACACATTCTGCAGCACCTTCGATCGATACTATTTTAATGATATTGCAGAAAATACGAATATGAATATCTCGATGGAATATATAATAGGATTACCTGACATCATGAGGCATAGGTAAAGTTGCTCCACGATCGAGTAGGATTTTGATGATTTCGTAGTTGTCGCGATGCGCTGAAAGGATCAAAGGCGTGATATCGGGCGTGAAGGTGGCTGTGTCAGGTGGCAAAGCCTCCCAACTCTGCAACAGAAAAGGCAACGAACAAAATAGAGAAAGCAAACGAATCGAAAAGTTGAGAAAACAACAAAAAAACACTTTAAACACAAAAGAAGTTGGTTTATTCAATTTTACGACGTTCGTGGCTCCCACTTTTAACAGCAAAAGTCCCCAGCGAGATTAGCAAACAAATTGAAATCGATTTTTAAAACAAAAGATAACATTCTTTCTTTTTTTTTTGCTTTTTTTTTTTGTTTGCATCTTTCTTCGAATAAAGGAAAGTAAATAATTGTCGCAAGAAGATGAAAAGAAAAGATAATTCCTGAAGATTGATGAGATTCAATTACGTCGTCGCAATTCGCAAATTCCGTTTGCCGTCGAAGCTGAAGAAACTGAAAAAGTTTCCAATTATTTTCCAATTTCTCGCAGGAAATCGCTTATGATTTTTACGAGTTCTAATAACAACAGGAAATGTTAATTGCTAAAATGGGTTACATCTTGGATCGGGTCCAAAGGTGCGGGCGAAAATAGAAAATGAAACTCTGCGTGCGATGCGAAAGAATCGCTGAAAGAAAGAAAGAAAGAAGGAAGTAGAAAAAAAGAGTAATAATAATTCGTTTCGAATGGCATTGTAAACGCCCTTTCTTTCCTCCATCGTTCATTCCATGATACGGACGAATATTTCCGTTGCCAATTGATATTTTACAATTGCCGGCCGACTCCACTCGGTATTTATAGAACGTACTCAAAATAAACGCTCTTGGAAAATAAACATTTTGTATAACAACAATATTTACAGAATGATTGAATTGATAGTTATTAGGTTTCAAGCATTTCTTTATTTTCCACATAGCTTCTCGGATCTATACAATGTTTGCATTTGCACTTACGTGTGGTTCGCCGGGTTTGTGTATCGTCTCTTCGTGTTCTAGGAGCACCTCGACTGCTTCCACGAATTCCTCGGAGATTGCATGGAGTAAAGCATCCTTAGTCTCTACGCGATGGGCGATCAGAAGCTCAACCATTTCCAGATTTTCGTTGTCTATAGCCATAAGCAGTGCACTTCTTCCCAATGGATCTACGCAGTTGATATTTATGTAATTGGTCTCTTCAGCCTTTTTCAACATTCTGTAAATAATAACAAAATCTCAATTCACTACATATTTAATGGAATTCATCTACATTTATATTATGAAACAAACTAACGAATAATTTAATTTATAAGACTAAGCAATCCAATTCATTAACTAATTAACAAGTTTGTGCCAACTACACAATCAATACGTTTAATGATGAAATATTATAATGATTATTAAAACAAAAAGCAGAAATTTTAATTATTAAGAATTATGCATAGGACTGAATAGCGAAATTTCGCTTTGTGTAGTAGTACATCATTAAATAATGGGACTTCAGAACCTCCTGTACATGTCGAGTACTCGGAAGAGGAGTAACCGTATTTGAATATAATTATAGTTCGTGTATGCCTACTGCATGTCCTATTGATATACAGCATACTAAATCCAACATGATTTTTAAATAAACGTTTATAGAAGATCATCCAAGACGAAAGACATTCAGCATTTATATTTGTTTATTATTTTGTAAATAAACAAATATTTTCTCTTTATAATACATGTGTAGTCAGACGTGTAGAAGTTAGCTATGTTCAGATCGTGTTAAAGGTTTTGAGAGTTAAATTTTCAACCCGGCGCATCCACTCCAATTATAATGAGTATTTATTTATAATGTAAAACGTAGTGAAGATTCGGCTTTACTTTAATAATAACTAGAGTTGTCGACAAAGATGTGTGTGCGTGTGCAGTGAAGCCCTAAAATCCAAGACGACGCTCGCCTAATTAAATAATGCATCGTGCTGTGAGCGATTAATTGAGTTTCGGGACGCAGACGGAACCGAAATGAGGAAAAGAAAACTTGAGTTCGCTCTATAAATTGTAAACATACCGTCTTGTCGAGGCGACGTCTCCCCGTTCAACCGCCAACAGGAACTTCTTTTCTTCCAGCGATAGTTGGGCTATCTCCTGATGAGGTCGGATCACATTCTCTTCTTCCATCATTCCATGTATACTGTGCCTCTGCAAAAAGAAAATAACATTAAAATTTTAAAATAATATTGTAATTTAAGTATGTTTTTTTATGAATCTATCAGAAGATTACTAAAATTGCATTAGTGAATTATAATTTGGAGATAATAAATAACCACAAACTTCTTAGAATTGATTTGATGATCTGATATTTTTACTTAATTATTTCCACACAATTGTTTCAAGGGATTGTTTATGAAATTTTCTTTAGCAACTCCCACTTCTTATATCGGATTCAAATTGGTTAAAATTAGTAAATAAAGCAATCTAAACACATTTTATCAGTTTATTGTCTTGTTTCACTTAATCAAAACACTGGATCCAAAATTACCAAAAATCTAAGCGTGTTTACATGAAAAAGAAGTACTTATTATACATTATATTGTTCGTAATTACTGATTACGAAATTATTTAGAAATACATTTATGAATGGTTGAATAATCCTCTTTGATCATACTTATTAGATTGCGAAATTCATATAAATTTCTGTTTGTTATGAAAAAAAAAGCAGCTTTAGATATAATGTAATAAATCAAACTCATGGTTTATATGATTATGAAATTCAATTTACTGTAAATAATCCCATATAAAATTAAATTAATTATCAACAGAAATACAAATTTGTATTGATTTACTTAAAAATTAATTGATCTTAACTTTCAATAAATATCCAAATCGCCAATGACATAATAACATTATGAGTTACAATATAATATCAATCATTTCTACTTAATACCAAGATTACTAAATGACCCAAATAATCACGTTGATTGCATAAAGGATTAAGTTCTCCAAATATAATCTTTTACAAATAAATTACATTATAATTCATTTCATCCATTCCGAGACACTTGAGTATTGCATTTAATAGATATAAGTTTTATTGATCTGCAAATTCAAATGAAATTCAAATAAACGTTTTTAGTTTTATTTACGTAATTCTGGTATTACTTCTACATAATTATATTTTTTTATTGATTTATTAATGAAATTTAGGTTTCTTATTAAACATTTAATAGAGAATTATTAGAATGTCATAAATTGGCGAGGATGAACTTTCGGACACGAAGAGATGAACATTTCAGATCTGCGAAAGGTCAAGGATCGGAAATGACTGAATGTTGATTTTATTCTGAACTTAAGCTGCTTAGAGTGGGACTTGAGATTTAACTTTGAATTGAAGAATGAATCCAAGGTATTTTATACCTCTTATATTGTACAATTTGTATTTATTTAAAATTGAAAAAAAAAATATATGTATGCATTTACCACTCTTTAACTGTATAAACTATTTATCAATCCATAAAGATACAACATGATACGTTTCGAAATAATTGTAAAAAAAACCAGTTGACTGCATTAGCATTTCCACTTACAAGACAAAACATATAGTAAATCAATTGAATTAATGTCCTCTTAGCAACTAATTATAAATAACCATTGTAAATAACTTTAATATAACAAAATAATAAACATTAATATTCCAACTTATTTATAATATAAATTGTAAAATCTCAAGTATTAGAATAAAGAAATTAGAACAATTTATAAATTTAGTCTTGAGTAGTATTTTAAATGTATATATTTGTGTTTCCTGGATATAAAATGTTTGAAGCGCGAAACGGAAATTCGTTTTTTAAAATGCAAGGAAATACGGTTTTTATCGAAAGCTATATTTCAAATTTTTAAGAAATGTGACATCTTTATCGCGTAGCACTTATACCTATCGTACACACATAAAAATAGTCGATGGGATGAACCGAAGCACGTAGTGTGTATGTGTGTGCATGCATATTTCGATTCTTCCGGCAAACTTATTGCTCAGAAAGTGCATAAATAAGCTGCTTTTAATATCCTGTATTTACTCCCAGCAATCGTTTACTGGTGAAAAAAGATAAATGTAAATATAGCTTAGGTTATTCGTTGCGAAGAACCACAAATATATAGATGTATGTATTCCGCTCGGAAGGATTTTCAGGCACTTCCGGAATCAGTGCTGCTGGAGAGAAAAAAAAAACGGCCGTAAAACAGTCGGGGATGCAGTAAACCCCGAGCAGCAATTTACTTCTTTAAAGACGATGGGAAATTACGACCGATGTATAAATATTTATTGTCCAGTTTGTGTTTAACGTTACACCCAATCTCCCGCGGCGTTAGTGGAGAGGTGCGCCAACTAAATATAATGTTCGCATTACAGAATTCACACCTGACGCGTGTTTACTGTTGTACAACGACTAATTTCATCAAGATTCGCAAATTATAAATACACTCAAATGAAACTGAGTAATTTAAAATAAAAATTATAGAAACTATATTGAGAACTCAAAAAGACAATAACTTTGTTAAACCAGGACATTCAACTAACCTTCATTTATATAAGTTTCCACTTATTCAGTTTATTTAATTTAAACATACATAGAACACAAAATGAATGATGATGTACGACCTAAAGTCCGGAAGGAATTCAAGTAAATATAACTAATTATAACAAGGAAGAAATCCTCATATAAACAATAACATATAACAGATATGTACATTATATGGATATGAACAATAACATGTCCACATATGCATTTGACTAATAGAACAATACAGATATTAATAGAATCTAGTCGTAATAGACAAAGCCCATGCTAATAATATGATGTTTAATCAAATTTGACCTCTCACCTTTATTTATTTTTTTTTTCAATTTATTGTGCAGAGTCAATAAATAAACTATTGTTCTGTTCAAGATGATTCAGTTATTATTGCTCTACATCATTTTATTTTATATATTCACATTAAACACATTTTTGTAAATTATCCTTAATTCATTTACGATCTTAACTAAATGTTCCCTTAAGTAGATATCGCAATACCTCGCATAGTGCGGCTTCGATCAGTCTGTGAATCAATAAAATTTGAATTGAAAATAAGTAAAACAATAGAAATCAACGTAAAAATGTAAGTTGTTAGTGAAAATAAATCACTGAATTAGGACAAAACTATATATATATAAAATGAGGAATGTGAAGTACACGGAAACGCGTTGTTCATGAAAAAAAGAAGAGAGTAGCAGAATGAAAGTGGAGTTAGTTAGGAAACGCTCGAAGATTCCTCTTGCACAGAACAAATAAACCGTCGCAGTTAACGTTCCCCATTTTTATTGCCGACCTAAGTGAGCAGCGTTCGTATAAACCGGAAGCCGCCGTCAAGACCACATTGTATATACGAAGGCCGGCAATAATAATAATAATGATGATGGTAGAAAGAAACAACGAAAACAACTAATAATAAATGCCACGCAACGGATTCCACAGCTAAAGAAAATAATTAGTGCCGTACCAAAAAAAAAGAAGAAAAAAAAAACAGCACACACACATAAAAATAAGGACTTCATCGTTCGTCTGTATCAAGTAATGGAATGTGAAGTTCTATAGTAAATCCATCCGCATTTCCTTGAGAATTTATGTAGCTTGCAATACGTAAATATTTATAGTCGGGAGCATTGTCCAAGGTTTACAATATCCAAAACGTTTATAACATAACGTATATAACTGCGTATGATGAGAGGTTAAACAAATTACTCTTAGGTAAACACAATATAGGTTGAATATTAATTGATACCATAATCACTTTAGTAAATTTAATTTATACTTTATACAATATATTTTATTTATATTTTTTATTATTTAAAACCGATTTATGGCAAATACTCAGTTTATATAACCATTTGTAATAATTATAAGAAACAATTACTAAAATTGTACATGTTGAGTCATTGGTTTGATACGTTATAATGCTTGCTTTAACTAGGTATACTCAAGTTTATTTATAGCAATGTGTTTTCGTCCGAATCTATCTAGCTTTTTACATCTAGTTTCCTGCAGTGTTTCCATTTGGATGTATATTCCGATTTTTACATGCAGTATTATTCAACACTGATGAAGCTTTCCATAAGCACCTTTTAACTTTCGACATGTATCATCTACTATTTATAATAAAGATGATGTTTCTTAAACACCAGTAATATTTCTGTTTGAAATATACTTTGAAATACCATTGATGATTAAGCACTTAAGCACTCTGGAAAACTTATGTATGTTATATTTATTTTTAGTAGTAAGTAGTCTAGTTTCATTGCTATATTATATAATTAGAACTTTTTTTCAAATTAAGATATTTTGAAGTTTAATTGCAATTAATTTGTATAAAATCATTCTATTGTACGTTGAATATCATTTCGGACAAATTCCTTTTATCGTACAAAATCGTATTTTAAGATTATTTCTCATAATATTTACAAAATATTACCCAAATAAACGATTGACGACTGTTTCTGAAATTGCTATTTAAAATAATGCAATATAAACTCGTAAGTACATAAGAAAGTAGCGATGTCTAAACAAAAAATATTATTGATTGATAAATTATAGTGTAAATAGTACAGAAGGAATGAAGATAGTTAAATTTTCATTGTCTTGAATGATTTAATCCGCAATTACAGATCGACGATCTTCTCAAAAGCTCTGGACAGCGTTCCTTCTGATGAATTAAGTGACCCCGCCGGGTGTGTTTCGTGTCAAAAGAAGGAAGCGATCAATCATGGTAGCAAAAAAAAGGAACGAACGAAGATCCTCTTCTTCTGCTCGAGTGAAAAAAAAAATATAAATGGCACGGCGCTCGTTGATTTTTTTCCACTCGCATTTTTCAGCTCCCCTATAGCTTGCTTTCGAAACCGGCCACGCTCTAATTACAAAGTGCTTCATTCGCTACTTTCTCAAAAAAAAAGAAGAGTCCGTTTTCTTTCCGTGCGGGGTAAATTATAAAAAGGCAGCATTATGCTAATGAATTGGGAGGATCGAGAGGGTGCAAGAAGTAATACGATTTAATCATGAATGTAAATCAGTTTCTGCTTTTCATTTATTATTGTGTGAGAGCTGCGAAAAGTTGGAGCTCGCTTGGTTCTTTGTTCCAAGACGAGGTGAGAGGAATTCAATTGGGTCGAA